CCTGGGTTTAATTCTCAGCACTGCCAAAAACAAACAACTAAAACATTAAAAAAAAAAAAAAAAAGACTAAAGCTAAATAATTTAAATAACTAAATCAAGAATGTGAATAATACTGAGGTGTAACAGTATTTGTAAAAAATCACACCTTTTTCCCCTCAGGCCTGATTTAATATTACTTTGGTTGATGCATGTAGTACATATATTACTTTAGAAATTTTGTGTATTACATATAGTAAAATATAACTGGGAAAATACACAATATACAAATACAACAATATTTTCATCTTATTCAGGTGGAAATAAAAATGTCTAACAGAAGAAAACAATGGATGTGAAGTTTCTACTAATTTTAAACCTACTTTCCAGCACCCCTGTGTTAACTTTCAGATACTGGGAACCCCCTTCTTTTCTCAGAAGTTCCCTACCAGTTTAGAAGAGAAAAACGGTCAAAGAATCCAGTGAACAACCTAACCCAAATATAAGTTAATATTTTGAAAATTATTTTTAAATTGCATGATTATAGATACATGCTGGCCACTAAGTCTCTGAGGCTTAAAATTAATTTTTTTTTTTTTGGTACCAAGGATCACACTTGGGACCTTGTACTTGTGAGGCAGGTGGCAGCACCACTGAACTAAATACCCGGCCCCTTAAAATTACTTTTAAGGTTAAAAAAAGATTTACTTTTAAAAATGATGTATCCATTTTTACAGGATTTGACAATCTGAAATAGATAAGTTTCCACATCCAGAAAGTTATCACACCCAGACACAAATCAATATCTTCAGAGATCAATCAGAATTCAGTAGAGTATTTTTAACAGTTAAATTACACTGAATACTTTTATGTCCCAGGATAATTGAGGCCTTTAACTTCATCATGAAATTCAAATATTTCTGACAAAATTCAGAGTTCATTTGGAGTAAATGTTTTGATTCAATTTCATATTTTAATACTTAAAAATTTAGTAGCCTGCTATTAAAATAAATTGGGTTTTATAGGAAACTTGAATTTATTATTTTTTAAAGTATATTTGACTTTCCTGGTATATGATTTTTGAATTACAGATATAGTTTTCTCTGAGTTTGAATCTGCCTTCAATGTGACACAATCACTCTATGGTGTCCTACAAAGATTAAACATCAGGTTACTCTGTCCTAGCAGATTGGAAGTTATTAAATGGACAGATTCCCTATACTCAGCCCTGACTTGTCTGCACTGGCAACTGTGCTGCTTCAGAGAAAGAAAGAAGAGGAGCTCTATCCAATACAGCCTACATGACTTCCTCCACATCCCCCGCAAAAGTATAAACAGGTCAGCAAGACCAAACTATGGTTGTGAACATTAAATACTTACAGAAAACTCTAAATCAGTGACCCCAAAGAAAAACTGCCCCAGTCTTTAAGAGACATAGTAGATGAAAATGAAAAGCGTTCATCCATATTGAAGCGCTAAATGTAAATCAGTGTTACAGCTCAGACACACATGCCCTCGCCCAAAACATGGAAGTTATATTTATCTTCTGGCCAACACATCTCTGCAGAGATCTGGAATCTGGCATCTCAGACAGGGCGCCTTTCCCACCTGGTTAGAGCTGGTTTATGGGCAGGGCCCAGGGAGCAGTCAACAAGCACACAGGTCAGCTCTGCTCCCCGCCAAGCGGTGTGGCCTGGGGCCCATGTTGAGTGGGTGGTGGCAGCTCGGGCTCCTGTGTCAGCCCCAGGTGCTGAGCAGGGTCTGAAGCACTTGCTGCTAACTGGAGCCCCCCTGTTTGCTCCTGATGGGCATGAAGATGCTCCAAAGTTTCCTTGGACAGCGTGATTACGTGCACTGGCTCCGTCTGGGAGGGCTCCATCTGACTTTCCATCATGTTGAGGCTCTCAATGTGTTCGGTTTGCTCCTGCTGAGCTGAAAGAATTAAATTCTGCAGCTGCTCTGGCTGCTGTGTGAGCAGAGTGAGATTAGCAGCCTGGTCTGCAGTCATGTTCTGGGAACTCTCAGTGGCCACAATGCTGATGCCCTGGCTAGGACCCGGCATAAAATTGATGTTGTGTACAGAATCGGTCACGAGAAGCTGAATCTCTTGCTCTCCTGAGGCAGAGAGCTGGTAGGGCTGTAGATGAAGAATATTCCTGACCTCTTCAGCATTGCTACTGCTGGAAATGCTGCTGGCTTCTAGAGTGTGCTTCTCTTTGCTGTGGATTTTCAGGTGAGCCTTCAAGTTATCTAAGCGAGCAAACTGTAAGTTACACTCCGAGCAGGAGAAAGGCTTTTTGCCGGTGTGGAGAATGCAGTGTCTCCTCTTCGCACTGGAGTCAGAAAAGGACTTGCCACATATGCTGCAGGAGTATGGCTTTTCTCCACTATAAGAAAATATATTTTATTTTAAATGCAGAAGCCAGATATGCTGCTGCAGGCTTATAATCCCAGTACTCTGGGAGGCTGAGGCAGGAGGATCAAGTTTTAGCACACTCTGAACAACCTGGTAATGTAGCAAGACCCTATCTATCTCCGAATAAAAAAAGGGAGCTTGAGATGGACATAGCTCACCACAAAGGCCCTGAGTTCAATTCCCAGTACTGCAAAAATAAACAAAACCCAGAAATATCTATTATCACTTCCTGTTTATCTGGGGAGAAGCAATCAAAATTAAAGGAAGCGCTAAATACAAATTAGATGAGACTGTTAATTGTTTTTTTTTTGGTACCAGGGATCGAACTTGGGTCCTTGCACTTGCCAGGCAGGCGGCAGAACCACTGAGCTAAATCCCCAGCACAAATTAAACTAGACTGTGAATCGCAGTCATGGGTTCCCCTAACTAACTAAAGGACTTACATCGACTCACACCTCCATGGGCTTCAGGGTCATTTTTTTTTTTTTTTAGTTTTTTTGAGACAGGGTCTCACTATGTAGTTGAGACTGACCTGAAACTCACTATGTAGCCCAGGCTGGTCTCAAACTCACAGCAATCCTCCTGCCTCATCCTCCAGAGTGCTGGGGTTACAGACATGCACCACCACACCCAGCCATGGGCTTCAGTTTTTAATCTTAAAAATCAAACAAATTAAAAAGGGTTAAAAAATAAAATATAAAAAAGGATAGGAGTGGTATTTGAAGAAGGACAGCAGTTGGGGTTGGGCTAGATGTGATAAAATTTTATGATACCACAGAATATATTTCAGATAAAAGTAAATATTTACATACTACATATGAAGTTCTTTTTAGTTGTTTTTTTTTGGGGTACTGGAGGTTGACCTTGCACTTGCAAGGCAGGAGTGGTGCCACTGAGCTAAATCCCCAGCCCAGTTTTTAGTTTTTAAAGCAAATTTTTAGACTCTAATGGCCAAATAAATATATATAATTAATATAAATATTAAAAATTTGTGAAGTTGTTAGAAATACATCTAAATGCAACTTGGGAGTAATTTCTGTGGACAAAACATTCATTCAGAAAATATTAAATTTAGGGCCAGGGATTTAGCTCAGTGACACTGTGCCTGCCTTGCAAGCGCAAGATCCTGAGTTTGATCCTCAGTAACAAAAAAAAAACAACAACCACCAGAAAATATTAAATTTAATGCCTTTCATTGGGCCTCCCTCTAACAGTCCAGGCTGGCCTTGACCTCAATACGTATCCCAGGCTAGCCTCAAACTCATGATCCTCCCGTCTCAGTCTCCACCTCCCAACTGTTGGAATTATTGCCATTCGCTCGCATGCCTTAATGGCTATTTTTTATTAAAGATTTAAATTTTGAGCCAGCCCCAAACACAAAATAAAAATTCAATAAATGAAATCAACAATGTACATGCTTACTGGCCAGAATCAGTCTATTAATTTTGTGCAAGGAATTTTATTATTGAAAAAATAAAACAAGATAACAAACTACATAGAAAATTATAAAGTAATAATTTAGGTAAAAGGAGTATATAGGTAACATGTCACCCCATGGAACACTCAGAGTTAAATGTGGCCTCTACAATACTGAAATATCTGCAAAACTTTACCGATGAATTCTGATGTGGGTCTGAAGAGAACTCTTTGCTGTGAAAGATTTGCCACAAATTTCACAAGTAAATGGCTTTTCACCTAAAAAAAAAAAAAAAAGAATGCATGTAGAAATATACATTTGGAAACAAACAAACCAGCCCTGCACTAGAGACTTGAGGAGTGGTGTGAGTCGTCTGGAGACGAAAAGGTAGGTGTGGGTCTCTCCCTGTGAACTGGGATTGAAGCAGGGCCTTTGCACTCATCTACATCCTCTTCCTGTGTTTCCGAGACAAAGTCTTGCTAAGTAAGTCATTAAATCGCCCAGGCTGGCTTGAACCTGTGATCCTAATGCCTCAGGCTCCCACAATGCTTGGATTCTAAGCATGCATCTCCATGCCTGGCTTCCCTTAAGCTCTTAAAAACTGAAATAAGAAGGTAGCATTTATATGAGGGAAACAAAGGCACTCAATATATTTACTCCTGCATCTTCCACATTTAGGCGTGACAATGAGTTGACTTCCGCACTCCTGCCTTACCATCTGATTAGGTGGTTCACTTGACCTTCAAAAGGACTCCTGTGCCCCAGGGAGATTTACACACTACTAACATCTTCCGAGTACACTCAGAATCTGAATATATTTACCCATTTCTGGTTTACACCACCACCTTTCCTCGTGGACACTGGCAGTGCATGGCCATCAGGGGCCCCCTGGTGGGGTGAGATCACTTCACACTGTGGCTCCTTAGCTGGACACAGTCAAAACTCTGGGCCTACAAGGGATCACACACCTCAAGCTCCTCACCCCAACTCCCTGGCCCCATCGCAAGGTGTCTTACAGGGGACTCACTTGCCTTGTCTCCCAGTCTCTGCTCAAGGGCTGTGTTTCCAGCAAGGCCCTGTCACCTCCCCTATCAGGAATCCACTCCAGGAGTACGGTCATCACACTCACTCACCCGGGTCCTACCCTCAACCTGGTTGCATCAGCTGTTGTTTCTTTTTTTTTTCTGAGACAGGGTCACCCTAAATAGCCTAGGGTGGGGGCTAGGGATCTAGCTCAGTGGTTCAGCTGCCTGCCTGGAAAGCACAACGCACAACGTCCACAGTTCGATAGTTCAATCCCGGTACAGCCTGGAGTACTGGGATTACAATCATGCGCCACCACACCTAGCCTAATCTGTTGTGAAGTTTTTATATCGGTTTCCTTCCTTCCTTCCTTCCTTCCTTCCTTCCTTCCTCTCTTCCTTTCCTCTTTCCTTTT